AGTTCCTTAAGAACGACAATGCCAAGGCCCCTTTACTTCTCCAAAGGCTATATTATGGGGTATGTGTGTGTGTGTGTGTTGCTCCCAAGGAAAGGGTTCAGGGACCAAATTCTAATTGAGTTCACAAAGTAGGGATAGGAAGAGAGAAATGAGGAACCCATAGCAGCAATAGCCAGCATATCCTGAGAAGTTCTTAGTTGTGGATTTAGAAAATTCTCAGATAGATTTAGCTCCACAGGAGATGCAGGAATGCCCAAACACAAAGATAACGTCCTAATTAGCAACCATTGTCTTCTGGTCATTGTTGTGTGCCTCGGGGATGGTGTTGCTTTCCTGTGTTACCTTAAACAGGTGGAGTCAGGCTGGGGTGCCGGCTCAGCGGATAAGCTTGGACTGCCATGCAACATAAAAGAATGTTTTGTTCTCAGTTGCTCCTGAGTTGTTCTGCTGTGCCTTTTGTAGCTGGCCTCCTATCCTGTCTTTTTGGAGGGAGGGCCCTTAGGGTTGCCTGGGGTGTGTCATCCATTTACACACTAGTCTTTGATCTGCCTCCATGTCTGGATGTTCAGTCACTGTGAGTGGGGATCACTTTAGGAATGGTTCTGGAATGGCCACCTGCGACCTCGAAGTCTCTGGCTGGCTCCTAAGTCACAGATTCCAGTCAGATCTGGAGTTCCTTAGGAAATTGAGGGTCTTCCTTGAGGTTTAGGAAATGCTTATAACACTGAGTTCTTTTTTTTTTTTTTTCTGGGGAATGTAAGCCGCTTGTCCTCCTGAGTTTTCATTGGGTTTTCTTTTTATATTTGATCTTAACCAAAAGGCCAAGAAGCGATTTTCTTTTTAATTCTTCTTTACAAATGAAAGGCACCACAGACGGTAGACGGAGCATTCAGACAAAGCAGGGCAGTGCAGAGTGGCCGCAGCCATGTTGGCTTTTCCACAGTGGATCTAGGGATGACCTGTGTCTTTTTTTTGTTGTTGTTCGATAAGTCCTTTTTTAAAAGCTTGTTGGAATCCTATTGTCTACTTGAATGACATGGGAAATTGGAATCCCATTCTTTTTGCCTAACTGGGTGAGGTTTGAACCCACGTGATGAACACTGTAATTTTGAATTGTCTTCCGTGGAGTTTTTGTTCCTTTTGTCAGTAACTATAGCTTCTTGGACCCTCATTTTTTTTTTAAGATTTATTTTCTTTTTATTGGAAAGTCAGATATACTTTCTCCAAGGAAGAGAGACAGAAAGGAAGATCTTCCATCTGCTGATTCACTCCCCAAGTGGCTGCAACAGCCAGAAATGTGTCAATCCAAAGCCAGGAGCCTCTTCCGGGTCACCCATGTGGGTCCCAAGGCTTTGGGCCATCCTTGACTGCTTTCCCAGGCCACAAGCAGGGAGCTAGATGAGGAGTGGGGCCAACAGGATTAGAACCAGCACCCATGTGTGATGCTGGCACATTCAAGGTGAGTACTTTAGCTGCTAGGCTATTGTGCAGGCCCCTCATTTTTTTTAAGATTTATTTATTTTTACTTGAAAGTCAGGATTATGGGATGGGAGCAGTGGGAGGGGAGCAAGGGAGACAGAGAGAGAGATCCTCTATCCCCTGGTTCACTGTGCAAATGGCCGCCCCTGCCAGGGCTGGGCTGGTCCAAAGCTAGGAGCCTGGAGCTTCCTCTAGATCGCTTATGTGAGATCCCAAGCACTTGAGCCATCCTTCTCACTTTCCCTGGCCATAATCAGGAAGATTGATTAGAAGTGGAATCATTGAGACTCTATAACCAGTATCCATATGGGATGCTGGCACCATAGGTGGAGTATTAGTGTGCGATACCACCGCGCTGCCCCCCAAGCCATCACTATAAACAGTCCCAAAGCCCGAAGGCAGAGGAATACACTAATTTTCAGGAACTAAGGATCTCACATGTGGATTGAAGGTTGAGTCTTTCCCAGATGAGATGAAAGCCTCAGCAGGAAGTGTGACAGGGCTGGGTCCCGCAGGGCTTGCGGTGTTCCTGGCCTCTCCTGGGTGCTTTCCTGAACCTAGTGGGCAGCCCCAGCACCCCCAGCCCAGTCTGTGAGCAGCTTGTCTTGTTGGTGGCAAGTGCCCCTGCTGGTTCTAAAGTGCCCAACCACTGCCCTCTGAGGCCCTCTTGACCACTTTAGCCAAGCGTGTGAGAAGAGATGAAATGAAGAGGAAAAACTTGAATCTCTTATTTCCAAACCCCACTCATACCCCCTGCAACCTTACCGCCTACCGCGCTGCTGTCAGCTGTGCTTAGAACTGCAGGTCTTGTCAGGGGGGGCGCACCTCACCACCACAAAGCCAGGGTTGCACACCCTCCCTCCTACAGTGGAGGCCTTCATACCACCAGGGCCTTCCCCCTTTGCCAGCACAAACCAGTCCTTGGAACTCCGAACGTCCTAAAAACCAGGGAGCTCAGTGCGAGGAGAGCAGTGAGTCAGACCTGAGCGAGAGCCTTTCTCATGGCTCCATGAAGAAGTCACAGGACCCCTTCTGGTGTTCCTCCTGGTGCCCAGCAGTCTAGGGCTGTTCCCAGAACCGTCTGAAAACATGGAAGAAGCTCCCGGCTTCAGCTTGGCCCAACCCTGGCCAGTGCAGCCATCTGGGGGATGAATGAACCAATGGGTAGAAGCTCTGTCTCTCCCTCTCTTGTTCTGTAACTCTTTCAAATGAAGAATTTTATTTTTTTAAAAAAACGGGAAAATTTTTGTCAGACATATATTCCAATAAAAAAGAAATAAGAAACTTGGATTGCAATTATGGGAACAAGAAAAGCCCCCTCAGAATGCTGAGCTGAGCGTCTGTGTTGGGTGCTCTGATGGGGAGCCGAGCGTCCGTACTGGGTGCCATGATGGGGAGCCGAGCGTCCGTACTGGGTGCCATGATGGGGAGCCGAGCGTCCGTACTGGGTGCCATGATGGGGAGCCGAGCGTCCGTACTGGGTGCCATGATGGGGAGCCGAGCGTCCGTACTGGGTGCCATGATGGGGAGCTGAGCGTCTGTACTGGGTGCTCAGATGGAGAGCCAAGTGTCCATGCAGGGTGCTCCTTGGGGAGCTGAGTGTCTGTGCAGGTTGCCCTCATCTGTGCTGGGTGCTCTGAAGGGGAGCAGAGCGTCTGTGCTGGGTGCTCTGATGGGGAGCTGAGCATGTATACTGGGTGCTCTGATGGGGAGCCAAGCGTGTGTACTGGGTGCTTTTATGGGGATCCAAGCGTCCTTGCAGGGTGCCCTGATGGGGATCTGATCGTTTGTGCAGGGTGCTCTTCTGGGGAGCTGAGTATCTGTGCTGGGTGCTCTGATGGAGAGCCACGTGTCCATGCAGGGTGCTCTTTGGGGAGATGAGTGTCTGTGCAGGTTGCCCTTGTCTGTGCTGGAGGCTCTGAGGGGGAGCAGAGCGTCTGTACAGGGTGCCCTCATCTGTGCTGAGTGCTCTGAAGGGGAGCAGAGCGTCTGTGCTGGGTGCTCTGAGGGAGAGCCGAGTGTCTGCTGGGTGCTCTGAGGGGGAGCCAAGCGTCTGCTGGGTGCTCTGAGGGGGAGCAGAGCGTCTGTGCTGGGTGCTCTGAGGGGGAGCAGAGCGTCTGTGCTGGGTGCCCTCGTCTGTGCTGGGTGCTCTGAGGGGGAGCAGAGCGCCTGTGCTGGGTGCTCTGAGGGGGAGCAGAGCGTCTGTGCTGGGTGCTCTGAGGGGGAGCAGAGCGTCTGTGCTGGGTGCTCTGAGGGGGAGCAGAGCGTCTGTGCTGGGTGCTCTGAGGGGGAGCCAAGGCTGGCGCATCGGGGAGGGGCAGAGGGACTCCTTAGGATCCCCATGGTGCTAGGGCTCAGGTGGAAGAAAGAATGTGACTTTTATCTCAGTACTGGAGTTAGTAGGATTTCGGTGTGTTTAAGTTATTCCTGACTAAACGTGTTAGAATGAATTTGACTAACGACTGAAGGAAAGCCATTGCATGGTTTTTTAAAGCAAAGGCTAGAGAATTTTATTTCTTGGTAGCTGTGAGAGGAGTTGTTACAAGTTGGTATTTTTAGGAAAGGAGGCGGTTTTGGGTGACCGTCTGATGAAGGAGCTTTCCCTTAGGCTGTTACAAGAAGAGGATCTGCTTGGCTTTTGAGCGGGCAGTACCAGCCCCTCCTGCCAGCTGTTAATTGTAGTTGGCCATTTTAAAGCGTGTTGGACACTGTAATTTAGAATGCAGAATACGGGTTTGAGAATTCAGAGCATCTCTTGATTTTTAGTAAAACACAGTGTAAGTAAAAGATAATCCTATTTTTGAGTGGGATAACAACCTCTGCTAAATAAATTCACCTTTTCAGAAACACATTCTATTAGTGCTGCAGCTGAGAGGAAAATATGTGACCCCACGAATTTGTGAGAGTTTCTGCAAACAGCTTGCCTTGCCTGCTTTGTAACAAAGTACGTGTGCTGTGGTCATTCTCCTGTTTTCCCCTGATGTATATTTCCACAGGAATCTTTGTATTTCCACACTTCCCTAGTCCACACTGGCAAAATCACAGGCCGGTGGAGTCCTGGAGGCAAGGCCCTTGGCCTCAGGAGTCACTGGGGTCCCTTCTCTCACTGATGAAAGGGAAATGACCATTAACTCTTCTGGGTGATTTCTATTTGAGTATATTTAGGATATGTTATGAAATATTTTCAGTGGAGGAAATATTCTATTAAGTGCTTTTGTAAAGCACTTATATACAAGATGATTCATTGCTGGCATTACACTGGTGGTTCTTAGATGTGTTTTGGTGCTTTAATAATTTAAACCTTGAAAGATTTATTTGTAGCCATTAATAGTTATAAATAACTGGAAATAGTTGCTGTGTTGGTTATTTCAGTGAGATGTGATTGATATGTGAGCATCCAGAAATACTACTCTGTTTAAAGTAAACACATTTTTATTACCATGTAAGATCAGTCTCTACTGGGAGTAGATTATTTTTAATTTGCATCTTTTTCTTTTTCTTTTTTTTTTTTTTCTCTACAGGAAAGAACTGGAAACCTTCAAAGGTAATTTTTAAAAAAGATTTGTTTATTTTTATTGGAAATTCAGTTTTATAGAGAGAAGGAGAGAAAGATCTTCCTTCCACTGATTCATTCTCCAAGGGGCCACAATGGTCAGAGCTGAGCCGATCTGAAGCCAGGAACTTCTTCTGGGTCTCCCACGCGGGTGCTGGGTCCCAGGGCCTTGGGTCATCCTCAACTACTTTCCCAGGCCACAAGCAGGGAGCTGGACGGGAAGTGAAGCAGCTGGGAAATGAACTGGCACCCATATAGCTTCCTGGTAACATGCAAGAGAAGGACTTTAGCTGCTAGGCCATCTCACTGGGCCTCAAATGTAATTTTGTGTTTAACTCTTCACTTGAAAGCATTTGTACAAGTTAATTGATGTCAGATGTTCTCTTTTGATGGTGACAAAAGAAGCCCTTTTCTTTTTGTTAAAGTTGGACAGTTTATAGCAGAAACTGTTTGAGGGTTTCATTGCATCACAACACACGGATCTGATGTTCTCTTAACTCTGTGCTGACTGTCCACTGTGAGCAGCGCCATAGCAGACAGGCACACTGAGACTGTCTCTGTGGGTTGCAGGGTGGGTGAGCAGGACGAAGCTTCTCCCCTACAGGCAGCCCCTACAGGAGGCTTCGGCCACGGAGCCAGACTCCCACCCGGTCCAGCCTCCTCAGGCTCAGCTTCTGTTTCTTCATGATACACACTCTGAGAGTCTGAAGGCTCCCAGCATTGTCTTGAACCTGAGCCGGCCTCTGAAAGAGGGCCACCCTGCGTTAATCCTTGATCTTGTTGACCATTAGTGGCTGCGGAGAAATGCTGGTGAGAAACAGCAAGCCTCAGACTTGCCAGCAGTTCCAGGCCTTCCTGTCACCATTTTTCACTTATTTATTAGCGGGCAGGTAGTGGAAATCACTGTAAGACTCGTTTTAATAGCCAGGAAGACTGGATTACTTAATTAAATCACTGATAGTTTATTTTATGCTTATCAGTTGTCTGTTTCACATACAAACCAACATTGAGGTTTAGATTTACTTGAGTGGTTAGAGATTCTTCTGTGTGGTGTTTGAAGTTGGGTTGTTCACGTGACTGAACTTGGGCCGTGCCGGGTTTCCGTGTGAGCCCCTGCAGCGGTAGTGCATGCTGATCCTCCTGGCCGAGTTAAGCAGCCAGTGGTGTGTGACACTGTGATCTTCCTGCTGTCCTCGCACTTACTCAGGCTGCCAACTTCCGCTCGTGAACATTATTGTTTATCTGTGGCTGGAGATCAGGTTTGAGATGCTCATACAAAATGTTCTTTCCCCTCTCATTTTTTTCTCTTGTTTGCCTTACTTAGGATATTCTTACGTAACATGAAGAGATGAAGAAAAGCAGCCACGTTAATATTAAAAGACAGGCAGGGGCAGAGATGACGTGACATGTCAGGGTTACTGCATGTCAGTGCCAAGGCATCCTTTCTTTGAGTGTGGCAGTGTTCACAGGAAGAGATCAGCAGTTTGCAGGAGGTGGATGGTGCTGCAGATTGCCTGTTAGAGTCGTGTCAGGCTAACACACCCTGTTGGTACACACATCCTTAATTAGGTGCAGTAGTTAACATCAGGTCTACCTGCTGGCTAATTAGAGCTTTCAAACTTGAGTAAATCCTGAATTGAATATTGTAGCGTGTCTAGTTTTAATATTGGTGCCCATTAAAAATTGTTGCCTTTTATTTTGCTAATAAAAAAGGTGAATAGGCTTTAACGCGAAGAACGGTAAATTAGTTGCTCTTTCAAAATGTTAGTGGAGAAAAGGGTTTTAAAAATTGTTTAAACCTTCATAGTTTCTTTTTCAAATATTGCTTTTGGCTTTCCTTTTCCTTTTTTTTTTTTTTGTTTTCGGTGGTAGGTAAAAAAGGTGTTCTTCCTCCCGTTGCTTTATTTCAGTTCTAGTTGTTTCAGAGGCTCCTTGGGGACCAGAGCACAAGGTGAGTAGCTGCCAAGGCTGGCAACAGATTCATCTCGTGTCTGTGTTCTGGCTTCTCTCTTGAGGTATACTACTTAGTTAAAGGTTAAATTCACCTTTCCCTTGTGTACCTGTGGCAAATCTGTAGCATTGCGAAACCCACATATTGTCTCAGTGTTGGCAGAAGGAAGATTTTTGAAGTGACAATCACTGTACTCCTAGACAAGATAAAAAGCAGAGGAGGAGCTTGAAAGCCCAGTTTTGTGTTTCAGTGGTGGAGGAATTCCATTATTGTAAGCATGGAGTACATCAGCCTTTCACAGTCCTGTAAGAACTGGGGACCTGGAGACTTGAGTAGATGTATCTGTTATTCGGGGTTACTAGTCATTTTTCTACTTTAGCTTTTAGACATCGGTTGTCATTTCATGTATAAGACTTAGACTCACTCTTCATATTTTTGAAGTATAAATCTAGAAATATTGTGCCAATGACAAGAGCAGCAGCAAGGATGTCCAAAGTTGGATAGTGTTCTGATCATCACGGATTCCTGACAGAGCATGGCCCTCCTGGGCACACTGGGTCTTACCTTCACCTGACAACCTCACCAAATTGGCCATTATTCTCCTCTTTCTCTGTAAAGCATCCAGAATGCTTGTGTCTGATAGAATGTCGGCCACTCCCTTCAAATACTGGTTCCCACCAGTTGTGTTGAATGCTAGCCCAGTGAGTTCTTTTGGCTCCTGAATCATTTATGCTAGTTGTTGTAATGCGCAGCTTAATTAAATGTTAGATAAAGTGAAACTACAATGTAATAGGAAGAACTGTTTGTAAGAAAGCAAACTTGACTGCATTGGAAGACAGGAAAGGTGAGTAACTTTTAAAGGGTTAAGGATTAGACAGGATTGGGAAGAAGACCAAAAGATTCTGTTAATTCATACTTCTTAAATTTCTGTTCTACTTTGGCACTTTATCCACTGCAGTGTGGGTGGTTTATATAAAAGACTTTCAGTAAGTAGATCCATGTTCAGAGAATTCGTGAGTTAAACTGTGGTTACATTTTAAACTAAACTGGTTGCATATATATTTTTGAATGCATTCCTGTATTAACTGCTTTTTGGAACATGGAATGAGCAACGTGGAATCTGACTGTGTCATAAAAGAGAACATCTGTTGCTATAATCCTCTACTCCAGGTCAAGTTACCTGATCGTATCAGAAACGTAGAGTGACAGTGTGAAAACATGTCAGGATTTAGGATTCGCCCTGTTGCAGTGAGCTTGGTCACCTTGAGCATTGGAGAAGGCGCCCTGCCATGCTGTCCTCATGTTGGAGGTTCAGCTCTGGATAGTGTAACTACAATAGACCAGACAGGACCAGAGCTGTCCAGAGAAATGGGAGGAAGACTGAAGCAAGTTACTGATGTGGAAGCCCAAGGAGCAGCAAGTTCAAAGGAGAAGTGGTTGCCAGGGTTGTCAGCAATGCCAAGAGCAGCACAGGGAAACCCCACTGGATTCGGCAGTGAGTGAGTAATGGGTGACTGTGAGGGGAGAGTCCAGGTTGCCAGTCAGCTGGTAAATGAGAAGGTAGAAACCCCAGGTGGCTGCAACTAGTTGTTCTTTGATGGCCAGAAGGGAATGACTTGAGAAGGAAACAACTCAAGAAGGAAAGGATGGTTTGTAATACAGAAACACTGTGTTATGGAAGGATAAAATAACTTCTAGGGAAGCCACATAAGAAAATGTAGTCTAAATTTCCAGGTTTTAGGCCCAGAAGTAGAAATAATAGACAAATGTTCCCAGAGTTGAAAACGGGAAAAACACGTGCAATGGGCTAGCGGGACGTGGTACACTTCTGAAATCTTTAGGTGTGGAACAATGCCCAGTGAGAGTGATAGCTGAACTGAGTATATGTGGAAATTCCCGAATTGAAAAGGATGTGAGGATCAGAGGAGCCTGAGCTAGTTAGGACTGGTTCCACTTGTTTGTCTTACTCTTGGTCGTGGTGTATGTATTGCAGATGGAGATGGTGATAACAGATGCTGCATTTGGGTGGAGCTTGAAGTAAGGCAAAACTATTTGGCAACAAGGTGGTGATGTTTAAGTTGATGGAGTCCTAGGCTGGGAGATAAAAATTGTCCTACTGTATTCTCCAGGAGTTGGGGGGCTGAGTGGCAAAAGCTGATAAGATAGGCAGGTAAGTTGAGCTGCAACACAGAGGTAATAGAAATAAGTCCACTGAGATAGGAATGTCACCGGAGGGGCAGTGCTGCTTGGTCTGAATGATGTGTGCTCTGCAGGCGGGAAGGGTTAGTAAGGATGCTCCAGGGAGAAGAAAGGACTGCTGAGATCAGTGATGTTTGTTCTAAGGACACAGGCTTGAATGTAATTGTTTTGCTCATTGAAGGAGCTACAAATAATTTGTCATGGCTGAAGCATATGGAGCACGGAGTGAGGTGCTGAGGGATGAAGATGGACATGTGGGTAGAGCACAAACGAGGTATGACCATGTGTGTAGTACACGTTGGCTTGGAGTTCTCCCTTTGGATGCTAACTCCTAGGGAAGGATAGGTATATGCAAAGCAATAGAGTGGAGAAAGAAGCAGGAGCATTTTTTCCCCTCTTAAGATTTACTTATCTTCTGTGAAAGGCAGCATGACAGAGAAATGGTTGTCTTCTAACTGATGGTTGATCGCTTAAATGCTTGCTGGCCTGGACCAGGCTGAAGCCAGTGGGCAGGGATTCCATTTGGGTCTGCCCTGTGGGTGGCCAGAACTCAAGGACTTGAACCATCAAGTACTAGCAGGAAGCTGGACTGAAAGTGGAGTAGCCAGGGAGATGGTGCCTTATGGCCAACACCACATTGCCTTGATTGCTGTGGTTCTGTAGTAACATTTGAAACTGGGACCTACTTAGTGTTTCTTTCTCTCCCCGCCAAATTTGTGTGACTAGAGCTATGGCAGTGTAGACTAAACCTCTCTCTGTGTCCCAGTTCTTCTGCTCTAGATTCCATTCATATGACCTGGGAAAGCAGTGAAGGATGGCCCAAAGCCGTGGGACCCTGCAC